TACATCAAGATGCCTGATTGTAGAACAAACCTGTGAAAAAGTGGTAATCTATTTGCATACACATAAAAGACTTACAACGGCAATTTTTCTGCCTTTTTCTGCGGAAAGCATGGGGCGCTGCGAAGAGAAACAAGGGCCTCAAATGATAAATTGAGCTTTTGACTCGTTTTATAAGCTGAATGACATTCACAACAAACGGAAGAAATTTTTTCAGGACACATATCTTGAGATTTCCGATAAGAACTGAATGAAACGTCCATGTGCCGTTCAGTCAGGCTATAAATAGACGTATTTTTTAGGGTTTATCGTTAAGTCAACATGCGTGGTTCCATGAGACCGGATGAAGACACGCTGGTGGGCACGATCAGTCTAACCGGCGATAGTGAAGATTGAATTCACTGAAAGGAACATAGTTTTTGTCTCTCAGTATATCTATATGATCGACTGTTTTCTGATTCCATAAATCAGTTCTATGTCGGGTCTTTCAAGAGTGTGATTATTTCTTGAACGCTGGAATTCTGAGGAGTGCAGGTTGATTACGGCTCTAAAGTAAATGTTTAACTAGTGAAGGGTTCTTTCTTAATTTCCTCGATGGCGTGTTGAATCTGACGCGCGGCGTTTGGGTTCTGTATAACCTGGTGCATTGGGTACTTTAGACAAGACAAGATTGTGCTTACCTCTGGGTGGCTTCCAGCGTTAACCTCTAAATCTGTTCACCAGTTCTTGATAGTATATATTTCAGGTGATTGTGGCAGACCCGTGGTGACACTTTACGCCGTCTAACTCTCCGTGAGCTCCTGCTTTCTATGCATGTCTACTTAGAAGACAGATAAAAAGCAGCCAACTGCAGAGTGGCACCAACAGGCTATTGCTTACAGCGTCCTTTCCAGTTCTCCTAACCCGGTAGTATACATTAACACCGAGGTCAGTTAATGGGAATTTAACAGTTTGAATAGCCGTTGGTCTGTAATCATTTGCAATTCAATGAACTCTTTTTGCTTTATCCACGGTCGATCCAAAAGTTGATGAAATTGAGCATATTCAGTTCAGGCGTCATCCTGTCTATAGATATTGAAAAGCCGAGACAAACTGTACAGCTGTCTCATTCTTGTTGGAACTTATCAGCAGTGGGCATCTCATAAAACTCAGAGACCTTCGAAACCAGGACCTTTTGACTAGTGGTTGAACTATTGACCGCCTGGCTGCGACTAGCAATGCAATTAATTCTCACTTAAAGAGCGCTTCTCATCCTCCAATCGTTAAGATCACATCACGTGATCACGTATTGACTGGCTCTTTGGGCGACAACTACTCAAAAGGAAGCTTCACACACCGACTGAATTTATTCTTCCTCTGAGCGGCTTCTTAGCATAAACTGGCTTCACTGCTGGCATGAAGTCTGTAATGGGTATAACCAAATCTCTCAACATGACTATGAAATCCGGGGTAACCTGGATGAGGTTTTCCACATCTGCTTGATTGGTTGATTGGCTGACTAAATGATTGATTTATTGGTCGATTAATTAACTGATTGACTGATTATTGGTTGGTTGGTTGGTTGGTTGGTTGGTTGGTTGGTTGGTTGGTTGGTTGGTTGGTTGGTTGGTTGGTTGGTTGGTTGGTTGGTTGGTTGGTTGGTTGGTTGGTTGGTTGGTTGGTTGGTTGGTTGGTTGGTTGGTTGGTTGGTTGGTTGGTTGGTTGGTTGGTTGGTTGGTTGGTTGGTTGGTTGGTTGGTTGGTTGGTTGGTTGGTTGGTTGGTTGGTTGGTTGGTTGGTTGGTTGGTTGGTTGGTTGGTTGGTTGGTTGGTTGGTTGGTTGGTTGGTTGGTTGGTTGGTTGGTTGGTTGGTTGGTTGGTTGGTTGGTTGGTTGGTTGGTTGGTTGGTTGGTTGGTTGGTTGGTTGGTTGGTTGGTTGGTTGGTTGGTTGGTTGGTTGGTTGGTTGGTTGGTTGGTTGGTTGGTTGGTTGGTTGGTTGGTTGGTTGGTTGGTTGTGCGAGTTCCACACACTCATCAAGTGTTTCATGCTGTATAAGAGAGTATCCTATATTATTGCATAAACCTCAGTGTACCATTGTATTATTTTTAGACCTTGAGGTATGCACCTAACTCCTTTTACAACTTGTTCAAATGTGACTAGCCGGACTATTCACATTGGGTGAACGCTAATCGAGGGAACAGCTATAGATACGTAAGCTGAACACTTTTGCTAGGTGAAAGATCTAACGGACACTGCGTGCTTGTATTTTCCTATGGGACCTCAGGCTGACTTAAGTAAATTAAAAACGCCCACCCATAACCTATCGTTTGCGTGGTCCCACAGATAAACGAAGTGGCTTTTATCCATACTGTGTTACTGGGATAACCAACCCTTTCCGTTTTTGGTTTTTTATTGGAAATGTGCAGAGAAATCTTACTAAAACTCAATTATATATGTAGAAATCTGTTCAGCATATTTGCATTGCAAACGTAGTCACCAAAAAAATCGTTTCCATGCTACGGCGTCCTCCACCTCTTTTTTCTCGTTATACCGAGGGGTTCCATAGTTTTTAAAACTTTCGGTGAAAAGTATTATACATTTGTCACCTTGGGAAATTTTTTCTGAAGCGATTTGAGACAACTGCCTCGTTTAACAATTTGATTTGTAATCCTAGCTTAGTAATGTCAAAGTACGGATTAGTCCAACCAGGTTTCGTTGCATATGGAAATTTCGGAGAACGCTGTGCCCTTACGTCAGATTATTTTCATTGGTCAGGTGACTGAAGTGCTCAGCATTACAGAAGTATATGATGTATTGACTTATTCAAGAACGACCCCGACCATGTTGATCACCAGCAAAATCCATGGTAAGTAATCAAAGTGCTGACACTTGGAAATTCAGGATAGAAAATCGAAAAGTATCTTACATATTTTAGAAAACACTGTTGCGTGGTTTCTTAAACCCTAAAAGACGTAAATATTCCGCTACAAATACCTTATATTTTACAAGAGTAGCTCACCCCCGATCGATGATCAACAAATGGCTGATACCAGCCAGAGAGAACGGAACCCAGGAATCACAAGAGTATGACCTCGAGCAATTAGTGTGAACGCGCTAAAAAGCGAAATCCTTGAATATCCCATCGATAGAAATTTTGGTGTTTCCCACAAAACTTTGTATATCACAACAAGAGTGCGAATAACATCATGATTATTGTGTTTCTGTTCCTTGAGGGAACATACTATTCAGGAACTCATGACAAGCTTCGAGTTCCCTGGAGCTCATCAGATAGGTGCAGTCTCAGAATCTCCGTTAAACATATGTTTTACTTGCACCCAGCAGTAACTCAGTTGCTTTTTGGGGGACTCAAACAAATCCCAGCTGAATGTCTCGGTTTTGGTGTCTTTTAATTGACGGCTATCATCAATTCGAGCTTCAGCTGGTATTTATTTGATCTGCCCGTTGAAGCCAAGTGGTGTGCAAATGATTACGTTTGGGGACTTTCTATTTTTCTGATACAGCACCCATCAATACCTTTCCGAAGTCCACAGACGTTTGACCATATGTACAACCATTGTGCAAGAAAGCCTTGATCTAGTGGACACTTGATAAGTGTAAAATCTTTAAAAATTAGAATGGAAGAAAACAATTGATTATTTGATTACCTAATTAGCTCCCCTCCTTTAGATGCCATAAACGTAAGTATTCTGTCTGATGGATCAATATGGATTAGTAGTAAACAACGGAGTATTTCCGTCGCCACTTTCAGGTAATGGACGTTGTGTGGTTCGTTGTGGTTCAGAATGGTATTTAGTTCCTGCGCCTCCTGAACATAGTTTGTAGTTGCGAGGGCGCCTGGAAAAGAGGCTTCCTTAATTTACGAACTCAGAGATATTCAGCAATGAATACGACTTTTACTGATCAGCCCGAACGCCTAATGTTTTTCACTTCTCTGCCATGGTCACACGGGGGAAAATACTTGTACATCACCGTAGTTTATGCCACTCACGTGATCAAATTAGGACTTCTTTTCCGCCTCCTGAAGACGATGAGATCAGATGTCTACCTGACAGACATCTAATGTATTATAGAAGCACAGAGAACGCCAGGTGGCTCTGGCGTCCAAGACAGGAAAATTGAAACGGGAAAGCTCCGTTTGAAAATCTACCCAAGTGCTAACTACCAGCACCGAAAATTGCTTGTTAACGCTTCAAGAAAAGTGACTGGAGAATGTGGAGAATAGCTCATTTGGTGGGAGGGTGCCAAAAGGTTTTGCCATGATATTTTAGAACTTGTGAAAAATCCAAACCCTGCGTTGACGGTAACACGATCATTCAGTGATTGTTCGCAGTCTGTCGAACATTCATCGGAGCTTTCCAAAGTTTATGGTTGAAGGGGAACGCAAACCAGAGCTATATATTTAAGTGGATCCACTTGTCTCAGTGAGCGAGAACTCACAAAATTTGAACACTTCAAACAAGCAGAAACCTAGTGGATTCGAATGGCCACGCAAGCTTCTAAATGATGTCTAGCAGAGGTGTCTGAAAAGTGACGGAATTTGAGTAACTGCTCCACGAAGCAAGGGTTCCAAAGAGCAAACCGATACCTTCTTGGTGAATGAATTTCTTGTGGGAAGTATGGCGCTTCATGTTCGGTTCTCTCAGATAAGCATGGCTTTTGGAAGAGGCCAGGGCACAGGGTTTTGTAAAGTACACATTGTACCTGAAATAATCCGTTTTTACTGAATGGAAAGTTAATTAATTAATTAATTAAATTAATTTGAACAGTTATAACACGCCGTTTTTACTGAATGGAAAGTTAATTAATTAATTAATTAAATTAATTTGAACAGTTTATAACACGAAGCGACCAGCATCAATGTGATGGACAGAGAATTAGTTTTCAATGGTGTCATAATTCTCTTGTCAACACCATGATATGCATATTGATGCAGTACCTGAATTTTTTGGTCTCTGATTACGAAGTCGGCCATACAACAAAATCATTTACCCGTAAACTTGTATTTAAAATAAGGCAACGTGGACACATAGAGAATCAGTTAAAAGGAATGAAATATGGTTGCATTTTACAAAAACGTTGACGAACTCCAACGCGTTAGATTCGAACAAAGGCGGTTGAACAAACTGGTTTCAGATCCGAGTTTGAGGGGAGAATGAAAGACCATGCTGTCCTGATAAAGAGGCATTGGATGTCATGAAAACTGCTCAAATGCTTGCGAAATCCCGGAGATTTCTTTTGTCATTATTCCAAGTGTCAATAGTTATTTAAGTACATTTAGAAACTCTGGAATTCAGATGAAAAGAGAATGATTGTATTGTAAACAGTCGAAAATAACTCAAGTTGGCCGTTCAACACTTGATTTAAAGTTCTCTGGGTTCTACTGATGATGTAAAGAATTTACAAGCAATGAACATGACTGGGCAAAGTGTGGAATCAACGCAATACTCGCTGAATCATGGCTTATTTTCGTCATAAACGCGCATTCTTGAAACATAAAGGATTCTTAAATGTTATGGGGAACTTAAAAACGTTGTTCAACAATGCGTAGTTAGCTGCTGGAATTTTCGTAAAGGAAACTACTCACAAGGTTGCTGAAAACTCCTCACAGCCCACGGACCACGCAACCGGTTTCGCCCTTCTTGGGGCACATCAAGTAGACGCAGTCCCCGAGTTTTCGTCAGCCTTATGTTCTACTTGAAGCCAAACTGGACTGTTTTCGAGAAATACACTCAGTTGCAAATTAATTTAGTTTTACCGGTAGACTCAATTGAGTCTCTCGTTTATGATGTCCTCCAACTGAATGTGCTGCACACAGGTTGGAATTTTATTCTTGCTCAGTGGCGGAGGTAATCACCAGAATTCCGCGGTTGCCTTCAGTATATCACGTGATTAGTGTACTCAAAAAGGCGAAAACGTAGGTAGTGTGGCCTTTTGACGAATATTCAAAATTTCATTCTGAAGGCGTACGTGATGTCAATACAGACGCTATGCAACTACCTAGTATCATATATTTTAAAAAAATTCAGCAAATTCCAATAACTTTCACTGGTCTGTCTAACAAACATGCTCCACCACAAATTAAGAACCATTTTAAAGGGTTCTCTGACTTGAAGTACTGTATTTGGAGAGACCACCTACTCTTGTGAACAGGGATTGCTTCATACGTCCACGAGGAACGAGGTGCCTTCCAAGCAACGATTTGGGTGTCATATGTGTGCTTGGGATTTTTGTCTATCATTGAAGTAAGCTGGAATGTTAGTCACCGCTTAAAAGGACCGTTTCTTCCTGACGGTTGTAACAACCCCCGCGGCATGATCTTCGATTGAAATTAAATGATATTTTGCCTCAATGTGAACCTTAGTAGGTGTTGATGTGAAAGAGCACTTTTTCCAGATGGACGATAATTACAGATGATTTTTGATGGTGAATTTGAAGTCTGAGGGCTTCAAGAAGTGGAAGAAAATAAATGCTACTGCACTGTGTAGATGCCGAGATCCATCGTGTAAGGAACGAATTTGAGATGAGTTAGAGAATGGCAGATTCTTACATCCAACATAAACGCCACTGAGTTTTCATGAAGAAAACTACTCACAAGGCGGCTGGAAACTCCTTGACAGTCCAAGAAGGATTTCGTCTTTCTTGGGGCTCATCAGGTAGGCGCAATCTCCGAGTTTCCGTTAACCTTGCGTTCTACTTGAGAGATTCAGTGGAGTCTCCTGTAAGAACCCAATTAATTCGCAAATGAGTTTGTTTGTCAAAATCTGTCCAATTTGCGTTCAAGCAAAACATAAGTTGGGCGGAAACTCGGGGACCGCGCCTAGCTGATGAGTCACAAGAAGGGCCCAAACGGCCGTGGGTTGTCTAAAACTTTTCAGCGACTTTGTGAGTAGTTTCCGTTATGAAAATATACTGCGATATCTTGAAACCAAACATAAGGAGTTTTTTGTGCAACACAGCTAGTTGAAGAATACGATGAACGAAGGATTTAGTCGAGTCTTCCGTGGCAACCAACTTGATTTGTAAATGAATGTATTTGTCGAAATGACTGAGTGTCTTTGTCCCTTAGTACGATTTCTTTCATTAATGGCGATCTTTACGTGCTGTTTCATAGCATCCAAAGTGACTAAGTGTTGCAGTTGATAAACGCCTCGTTGTTTTGTCGTTTCTGTCGTTCCGCCGTCTTTCTTCAGCGAAAAATTGACCTTTGCGGAAAAGTTTTCTACTCATGACGAAACTTTTGAAATTACCCGCGTAGAAGCTATTGTCATCACCAGCTACAGCAGCGTCACCGTTATGACTGATGCTTTACTGCCGTACAGAAATAAAGTTAACTTAGTTACAATTGAAGTCGCAAAGTAAAACGGAGGGAGAAGACTGGTCAAAGTCAGGATCTGGTGCTGGGGGGACTACATCGCCAAGCACTGAAGCTGACAACCCGGGTTGAAACTGGTAACACAAAATCCATTGACGTCACAGTATTTTTGTGGGGACGAATTTTGAAGGTCACCACCTTTGATTTTTATTGTATTTGCCCAAAATCATGGTGCATCCGTTCGTAAATGGACTTACGGCCATAAGTATTCATCCATCTTCTCTGCAAACAGATACAGCCTTTCCCAATTCAGGTCAGTTTGCCGTCCGACCCGGATTGAACCTCCGTTGGGGTGGAGTAATGACGGTCAATAGTACACGATAGAGCAGGATATTGTGGCACATTGAGTAGAGTGATTTCTGTCGGCTTTCTAAGTAGAAAGCCAAATTCAGAGTTTCATTTGTAAGTGTACTGGGGGTGCAAGATTTTATGAATGACGTTTTGGAAATACCATGCTCGCTTTTGGAAACAAAATTGTCTCATTTTAGAACCACTATTTTCACCCGACCATAAGCATCTACGCTGAGGTTGAGCTTGGGCTGTAGAACCATCAATTCCTAGTGCGTATGTCTTGGAACAACATTCACAAATTCGCGAAAATAACCCATTTTATGGTGTTTAGTTTTGTTATGTCTCCTCTCTCCTCCTGGTGGCGATAACCAGTACCGAGTCCCAAAATCAACCGCTTTAAATCACCTGACCTATGTTATTTGCGTAGCACATCCAATTTGAACCGGAACGTTTTTACAGGTGGAGGCCGACTCCCAGACTTTGGAAAACCTGTAATCAGCTTCTTTGTATCAAAAAATAGAACGCGAAAACACTCTTGTTAAGATGCCATTATTCGGAATTTAAGACGGCTAACGACATAATACTTGGAATAGGAACCGTTCTTGTTTTTAAATCGGTCATTTTAACATTATCTATCATCATTAACATTATCTAATCTACATTCAGGGCAACCGCATGTCATAATAAAATCGTCTAATGTTGCTTTATGGTGTACAAAATGGACGTGATATGGTCCACTTTGAAATATCTATTGAATTCCGCTCTTCCCGACAACTATGAACGTTTCAGTGCGAATTGACAGAAGTATTGAAGGTGGCTCTCTGCATACAGTACAGAAAGGAAATCTCAGATGCCCTGCCGAAATCATGGATGAAATGCCTGAGGATGAAGTAAATCACATTCCTTAACTCATGTCATCAAAAATATGTCCTCACACCGGAACTCTGTGAAGGGGCAAGTGGTACGACGTCGCCAGCGTGTGCAGATTCCATCCAATTTAGGAGCTCGGCCTAATCTTCTGGCATGGGTGGCATACACTTGACACCTGTGGGCAGTCGATCAGGATCTTCCAGAAACTTCATATCCAAAGAATGTACGGATGCTGCTATTATCCAGGATTTTAACTAGTGTCTCGTTTCACGACTTTGGTAGAAAATTTGTAAAAAGACCCTGTTGATGGTAACGTACGAAATTTCTTTCACGGAAGCAGGAGTGCACACTTCCAAAGACCACCCAGCATCGGTTGCTTACATGCATACATAATTTGTTGGATGAAACATCTCCAGGCTAGTAAATTCCAACCAATTCGACTGTCACTTGTTCACAAAAACACTACTAACTAAAATGATTCCACCATGCCCAGAACATCGATCTTGCCCAAAAACCAATCAGATGTGAACAAGCTTTTCAGTTTCACGTGACCGTACTCAGTTTCACTGAGTATTTGCAGGACTGATAAAGAGCTCGGTGGTCCACACGAGACTGAGCAGCAATGTGGTAATGATATCTAACTGTTTCATCCAAACAGTTTGTTTACCATTTCATCTCTGGCATGGACTATTCCATGACTAGTCATGAACCAGGCATGGACTAGGCATGAACTATTCCAAAGGTACTTAGCGATCCATCACGCCATTTTATATTACCTAATACTGATTCCGAATAGCATTAAAGCTGTAACACCCTTCCGGTGCTTAAATGCCATTCTACACGGGGGAGGCACGAGGGCTGGGATACTGCCAGGTTGCCCAAGCCTAGACAGAGGAAGTCGAGGGGCAGAGGTCGGGTTCGAACCACGGACCATCCGGTCAGTAGATTCGTGCTTGAGCCACTTGAGCCATTTCGCCTCTTGAATAAGACAAGTAGACGTAGTATCAGTAGACCGATTCAGTGAGATAATTACGCGACTCGTATCGACTACTCAAGACTGAGTGAACTATATAGTTCGACTGGACGACGAATGAATAAGCCTGTTGATTATGCGAGGAGGAGAGGGATCATAGCTGTTAAGTTTGAAACCACTGGAGATAAGCCAGGAAGATTGTTTCAGAAGAAGCCATGACACCGGAAGGTTGCACCAGGACTGGGATACTGCCAGGGTGCCCAAGCCTAGACAGAGGAAGTCGAGGAGCAGAGGTCGGGTTCGAACCACGGACCTTCCGGTTAGTAAATCCGCCCATCTCACTGGAGCATGTTGCAATCACTCACAACTAGTCTATGAAGATCTCTACTCGAATAATTCCTACAAAACACTGGTATTATGCTTCTTCATGAATTCACAAACCATCTTCGAAAACAGAGCTAAAATGGCTTGTTCTGCCCAAAGCATCCCGTTGCCTCAGTCCACCTCCTCATAGGCCTAAATTTATCTGCCGTTTTAATGAGCAAATAGAAGTCGTCCATGTGAGTCGAATGCTTGTCCCGACTTCAACTGATGCTAGCCTAACAACTAATGACCACCGCTCATATTCCCCTCCAGATATCGACAACACATAGATTGATGTCTTGTTCAGAAGGACTGCATCTGTGGTGTAGAATGATTCGCAACCTTCAACCAAGACGGACCTCATCAGCTCACCTGTGAAACTGACTTTTCCATCACCATCTGTATCCGCCTCTCTCATCATGTCCATGATATCCTCAGGGCTCAGCGTCTCTCCCAAGCTCGTCATTGTCTTTTCCAACTCCTTTGCGTCAATGAATCCATCGCCATCGCAATCGAACTCCTTGAATTTCGGGGTGAGAAAAAGGAAAGACATTCGTAGTTGATTGTTTAACTACGATTGAAAGTCATTTGGCTGCACTTGAGATCAGCTTGATCAGTAATTTCATCACATAACAACAAGAGGACGATAATTCTCTATCGCAAGGGGTTAATTTGCAAGCGGGAGCGGTATCTTCTCTATTTCGAATGAATAAGTTATTTGAGTCACTTCAGTTTCAACCCACTCCCGATTAGCTCACTGTGGTTTCGAATGCTTACTGAGGAAGCTGAGTTTAAGCTAGATGCTTCCTGAAACTGTGTTTGAACAATGAAAGGACTATCTGAACGGTAGACGACTGATTCTCAGTTGATTAACCGCAGGTCTTCAGTTTTCTCAGTAAGCTGGTATGTTCAGGATCACTTTGATTTCATCATTCTAACACCTAGCCTCGAACCCAAAGTGCATACATTCACTCGTGCTCCAGGCTAAAGGCAACATTCATATCCTGTCAATATTGAAAAGTACTTTTAATTTACGTGCTCTCCACATTCATTCTCGCCAACATTAGACGCCAGGAACTGTTTGTTTCTCTCAGAGGAAGAGTTTGTCCAGTTGACATGGCAATAATGGGGCGATCTGCCACTGCATCTGCTTATAGCAGACTTCGAGGTCAAAGAATGGCGCACTCAACAAACCTTGTGGGCATTTTTGTGCCTGTGAAAGGAGGGTTAAAGAAACTCCAAACTTCCAAAAACATTTTCGTGTGGATGGTTGACGCTAGTAAAGTTTGAAAAACATTTATTCATTTTTTTATTGATTATCTCCAGATGCTTCAACTGGACCTTACTTCTAGTTCAATGAAACTGCCAATAAAATGTTCCGATTGCGCACCTTCTCAGAAGAGGCCAACTTGAAGAGGGGGCCGTTTTCCGACTGCCTTTGAAAGGGACGTATGTAGGCCCGCATACTTAGTAAATACATTCAGTTGAGCCTTTCATGCGTTCTTTTTAAAGCGTTGATCTGTGGTAAAATCAGTTTCTCTGTGGTAACCGCCTGAGGGAAACCATCAAACTTGCATTTTCAGAGTCTTGGTCTGTACTGAGTAGAACGGAATATCTGATAAAATAACATGAGCAAAAGGTTTCATTCAAATAGCGGCCTGTACAGCTGGCTTTGTACCATGTGGATACGATTCATGTTATGAGAACCTCTATTACCAAGGGGGAATTGTAAATTCTTTCTGTTCTCAGATGTCTAACTGGTGTCAGGACTCACTCAAGCCCAATGTACGAATTTTGCACTCGAGTTAATACTGCTGAGGGGTATTTTGCATAGACATTTTTGAGAATTGCCGGAAATCCGCTCAACTAGGTATCGATTTCAAACAGACGTTTACATAGCATGGGTGAACTGGTCCCAGTTAGGGGCCGCATCTGAGCTCACTAGTCTAGAAAGTCCTTCAAGCTTTGGTTTCGTCCAGCCCTAACATTTTCCATTCCTCATCGATAGCACTTTGTTGCCACAAACAAACAGCTGAAAAGAAGGAGGGTGCAACTGAAAGGGTCTCGGTGCAGCCGCCTTCTAATCGTGATGGCGTGGACTTGGCAAATTCGACAGAATCACCAGGCTAAATGATTCTCCAGTGAGGTGGTGCGGCATGTTCTCAATTCGATCCCAAACTACTCACTTCTGCAGCATTCGAAATTCGTCTTCTTTGCCTCATTGCAACCATAGAACTTGACACGTGTGACGACAGTGAAAAAATCGCCTTTCCTTAATAATTGCATGCATTGACTACCAAGCGATTGTGCGTAGACTCCTCGATGCTAAAAATGCGCCACTAATCGCCTTGTCACAAAAATGGAAGACGTGTTAATCTAGATAAAAGGGAGGAAACCACAGAAAACTGGGCTTGTCAGCCCCTTTTTAGGTGTAGTTTGGGATTGCTATGGCATTGAACGCCCTTATGGGATCATCCCTAGTCTGCCAAGTGGGCCAGTATTTAAGTGGACTTCGTATTCCATAGATTTGTAGCTGCGCATTGTTGTAACCTGTTCTCACTCTTTCTCAGGGATAGACAACTACACTATCGAAATGTCCACTTAACCGAGGCTGGAGCATCTTCTGTCTCCCCGAATAATAAGCAAAATAAACCAAACGTTCAGATTGGCATCAATCTATAAATGGCTCAGAGGAAGAATGGTTTTACAAGGTGAGTGTAACTTCCATCTCAGAGGTCATCAATGGAGTACTCAGTCAGCATGCAACTGAAGGATGAGGGAGGATGTATCTTGTCCGAGTGAGAGCTACTCATGCCGATGTCCGGCCGCTTATGACTGAATGGTTGCGTTTTCAACCGCTAGACCGAAAGTGGCATTTTCTGAACTTTCTGAGATACGCACTGCTGACGACTTCTAAAAAAGATTCAACACCCGTACAATGCTTCTCGGCCCTTCAGCATAGATCGGCTTCACTCCCAATTGAGAATTTATACGCCATCTCTAATGCACACCACTCAAATTCCGTAAACTGATGTTAGTTCAATTTAGCCTGCAAGAGCCACCATTCCTAGAGAAACAGATGACAGAAACTACTATACGACCTCTCAGTGTTTCGCTCGTGTGTGTAATTCATGAATAAGCAAGTGTTCCGGAACATTCAACTGCGACATGAACAATTCCACACAGTTCTCACGAATGCTGTTGAACAACGGCAGAAACCTAACAGTACATCATTCTCCAAGGTCAGAACGCAATCGGGGAATGTGTGCGAATAAGCCTTGTCCCGGAGGTATTCTGAAATCCCTTCTTCAAAGGAGGAAAGTGCTGGTATCGCATAATGCCTGATGAATGCATCTAGGCCAAAAAACAGATCAAATAATTGTCTAGACGGAATACACTATTCATAAGGTTACTGAAAACTCTTCAAGAACCCACGACAGGTTTTGCCTTCCTTTGGGTTCACCACGTAGGCACAGTAAGAACATCATGAACGAGAACTGCTGTTGTGTCGCTGTTGTCTCCTGTCAAGAGCAACTTGGTGTGCAAATGAGTGCAACTTACTAGTAGTTTCAGTCATTTTATATCAAAGCTCACATGTGAATAGCTTCCAAGTACTACCATCGGTATAAATTTTGGTCCAAAGAGGATGCCCACGGTAATGAACGTGACAAGAGAAGGGGATTTAGGCGATTTTCTAGCCAGACAGTCATCACTGCTTTGTTCACTAGAGTTCTCAGAACCGCAACAAGCGTTGCCTACAACTACAATCTCTTTGCTCAATCAGAGACTTAAGTCAGACTATTTTTCAGGCACACGGAAGTCTGTAGAGTTCTCATGAGTGGATTCAGAACTGGTGTCTGTCTATTTGTTTCCTTTGTTGTAGGCCTTCATACCCCAGCCGGTGCATCACCTGCTCGAACTCAGGTCGTGTTGTTTAGCCTTATCATCTGACTGTACTTCACGTCACAAAGCAGCGGAATGCAGATACCGCAGTTACCGAGCTAAAGACTCCTTCCGATAACCACTATTAAATGAGTCTGAACGTTCAGATTTCTCGCCTCTTTTCTGACTTTCCAGGTGTTGAGGATTTTGCTCAGTTATCTGAAAATCTCTACCCCTTCGATTTCCGCATTCAGTGCTTGCACTGTCTTCCATTTGAGGCAGTTCGAGCTCGTCTATCGTTCTTTTTAGGATCACAGCATACAGGTGGGTCGAACAGCAAACACGATTAGAGAGGAAGATTTAGGAAAAATATGTGGGACCTGTCTAATCACCCACACCGTCATTTGCGGACACGTTTTGTTTAGCGTGAAAGAATGCACCAGGACTTCAGTGGACGATGCACGCGAAGTACACAGCAAGATGATATTTTAAGAGGTCAATATCAGATCCGAAGGCAAATCAACGACCAACCAACTGTAATGTTTTGTAAAAGGCTCTTCAAAGGTGCCCACGGAATCTCAGTTAAAACTGTGGTATACTCAATACCAACAGATGTCCAAAAGTGCATTGCACGGAGACTCCGGAACATAACTGCTCCAAAGCATCTCAGATAGAGAGAGTATCCAGGTCATCAAGGGAATCGCGAGTTTGCAACATGTATATACTCTTGGCTTACTGCAAACACTCGACGGTAGAGTTCTTCATTTGCATGCTTTGAGTTCAGTATATCCGGCGTTTGAAAATGATGTTCGGTCATTGCGCGAAGAAATTCACCGAAATCCAGAGATCCGTCACCTATAGCAGGCGAGAGAGAAGCAAAGTTATTTACCATGGGAAGAAAGCTCTTCAACAGCCCACGACCAGGTTTCGCTCTTCTTGGAACTCATCAGGTAAGTGCAGTCCCCAAGTTTCCGTCAAACTTAGGTTCTGCTTGAGGCCCACTTGCACGAAGTTAGCTAAATATACTCATTTGCATACCAATTTTGTTTTCATGGAAGACTCAACTGAATCTCCCCTTTACGAGTCACCCATGAAAACCAAACTGATTTGTCGAAATCAGTTCAATTTGGGTTCAAGTATAACATGAACTTCACGGAAACTCGGTAACAGCACCTATCCGATAGGCCACAGGAAAAGCGACACAGGTCGTGGGTTGTTGAAGGGTCTCCAGCTACTTTGTGAGTAGTTTCCTTTATGAAAATATACTGCGATATCTCGAATATCGCGCCAACTGAAACATGAGGCGGCCCGTGTGCAGTACGTTCCGTCGTAGAACATCACAAACGAGAGATTCTGTTGAGTCTCTGGTGAAAACCAAAGTGATTTGCAAACGAGTGTATTTCTCGAAAGCTTATAAGTTGCTTGGGTAAGCTACCAGGTAAAAAAGTTTCCAGACTTTTTTCGGTTATGGACCAGAAAAGTGGGTACTACAGCAAATTCTGATGATTCAGAATGCCCAGACACTCCATCATTAAAGCAAGATAAAAACAAGGCTAACGGTAAAAGTTGGGTAAGATGGATCCGATCTCATTTATTTCGACCGCTACTGGCGTAAACGTTGTGCTCTGTTATCGGTGAAGTTAAACTGAGGACATATTTGCCCTGTGGGACATATGGTATTAGTTACAATTAAGGACGTTTCCTTGAGATTGTACACACTTCCGACTTAACTAACAGACAAGAGTTTAAGTAGTATGATTCATATATTTAACCGAATGAGACCATAGATCTGGGCCAACATTATTCCCTTTGGCAACAGGCAACAACCAGTAACATGTAAAATCCCCAATGTCTAGAAGAGACCTATCAATTACTGCGCAAAATCTGGGCAAGAATAATTGGAAAAACGTTGAGAAATCCATTCAGTTTACCCTGCATTAGGGACTCCGTTATAACAAGAAATTCTACACCAAAAGAAAGACGTAGGCAAAAATATATTAATGGCCAAGATGTCCCCGAAAAAATGTGGGTCGACTGGTCCTTCCTCCAGTGTATTGACAAATTGCTGTGAATTCACGGGGCTCTTTTGACGAGTTTTTTCGATTTTGAAGGTGACTTTTAACACACGCAAGCAAGAAGAAACCCAGTAACACGGAGCAACACCAAAGATACCAACGTGATGTTGCGGCCTTCCTCCACGAGATTCACAATAGTCTACAGTGGCCTTAAACCAATTGGTGCATATTGTCCACATGGCTCATACATTATTGTCAAAGGATCTGTCTGAATCACTATTAGATAGAACCAACTCGCACCTGTAGGTGTTATTATATACGCTTTGCAAAATGCATCACCCAAGTACCAAAACAATGCGCGCTTGATGGAAGCACATTGGGTTTAACTCGAACTATCATAGGACACGCAATTTGGAGTAATTAAATGTTGGTTATAGAAAGAGTTGATAGAATACCTCTCTTCTCAAGACGCAATTGATCAAATCAAATTCTCTACATACTAGAGCTGTTAAATGCGAGGCTATATTGGACTGCCCTTTGTCGTAAACAAACATGGCCCAAGATACTGTGAAAGACACGCCCTGGCTTATTTGGTTGCGTTGGGCTATGTAGCTACCGTAAAGTCCGCGCAAAGGCAACAGAATATTTACTCTTCTAGTAATTGGAAAGAAGGCCTGGGTGAGTGTCTTAAGGAACTGTGGAAATTGCTCACCATCTTCAAGTCTCATGCAATGTTGGCTGCATTCTTTATCAGTCATTTGTATTTGATCTTGTTCTTGGCGGGTTCGCATTTCAGTCAGCTACTTTTGTTGAAGAGTGTCCACAACAAGAGCCACCAGAGTGGCTACATCCACCACTTACATCCCATTCACAATTAGATAACAGCGCGAAATCTAGCAAACTTGTCGATCACACAGTGCAATCCGCTGCAAAATATTCCGTTCTGCAGTATGGGTAATGGAACTGGTGAATATCATCTTGAATTTGTCTTCTGCTATAGATTACTAGTTTACCTTCAAGTTACCTCTTTTAAAGTTATAAACTGAGGAGTATTCATATCCACCTTGTTTCATCTAGTTCGAAGCTGACATACTGTTGCTTTTTAATCAATCGTAAAATTCTTCTAAAAGCACTGTACCTGTGTGAAACGGATTTCGCAGAGCTCGTGAAAAAACCTTTGGGAGATTTTTATGGTCTGGTCCACAATATCCCCTAATTTCGACTTTGAGTGGACTCAATTCACAATGTTGAGAACAACCGGCAATAATTCATTTAATTTCATATTTAGATAATAGAAATTACTCGTTTGATAAAATAAAAAATATAATTTTGCTTTCTGAAATATTCATCGTATTACAATGGCTATCACTCGTGAAAATATTTTTGTCTCTTGCACATGTAATATTGCCTTCTAAAAACTTCCTTTCTGTCCAAGCTTGAATGTGGCGCCAACCTTCCAATCAGTTAAACTCTGGGGCAACTTGCTTGTTTTAATCTGGGCTATAATCACACCTCTAATAGCATGCGCATACCAATACTAAGGTAGGTTTTTTTGACAAAAGTAACTCGTTAAACTGCATACCCAAATCACTGTCCGTTTTGCCAATACTTCTCTATTTCGGGATATTGTTTGAAAACAGTCATTTCCCTTCAAAACCCTTAGACAGCGATGGGGGAATCGCTCACCGCACGGATAATAAAATAAGCTTTTTCATGAGTCCCACAACCCGTAACTCCCGCTTTTTAAATTTTTATGAATATTTGGAGGCAATGTAAGAGTTTATTAGGTGCTTGTGTGTATTTTACAGACACTAATTCGCCTAATCTTGTCATTGGCCTAGTACACTGCCGCTTTAACATGATCGATTCATCGACAGAAAGTTCAAGGCCAGACAGTTTATCCTTAGTCTAATTGGCCGGCTGGTCAGTTTTATGTAAAAATATTCATTATTCTCCATTTCATAACGTACCCGGATGTGCTTGCTCTTCTCAAAACTAAAGGCACATAACCATTCCAAAACGTAAACCGAGGTGCAAGACCCACCTGCAATGCGTGTCACCTGAAGTAGCAACTATTTGGAGTAAAATGCATCAAATATTTCACGAAACTAGGTAACTGATCGGCCATGATTGCACAAACGGGTGCAACTCATCGATGTTCTTGCCATTGTTCATTTTGTCGTTTATTAAACTTAACAGCAGTGATTCTCACCAATTTGTAGCCCGGAAACTTTTCAGGTTATTTTACCTCTTCTATATACTCACTCATTTCTTTTAATTATCTCGGATCGTGAAAGCCTACAAAATAATCTTACG